GTCGCCTCGCGGTCATAGCACAGGTTCGTTTTTTTTTTTTTTTTTTTTTGCGTTTGAACAGAAAGAAATAAAAAATTAATTGAAATATTAGATAAGGCAGAGACATGTCAGGAGACAGCCTATATTTTATCTTTTAACTGGAAACACAGGCCGGACACAGAGCGTGCGGCTCGCAATGGAATCTTCGGTACAGTCTCCTACTGCCATTTTGATGACCAATTTATCCGGTCGTTCGAGACTGGAGTTAAAAGAAGACAAGTGGAAAGACGCGAAAATAGAAGAGGAGAGAGAGAGAGGAGGATTTAAGAAGAGGGTGCTAAATCAGGTGTCCCTTCTCAACCTGCGATTCACTTTGGGACAGTTGGCCGCATGATTAATGGCTTCGTTTTCAACAACAAAGCTTTTCTAGTGGGACCTGCATAGAAAGCGGTAAAAAATAATATGAAATTTGAAAATTTCAGGCGAAAACTGGCATCAGTGTGTAATGAGCTTACACAAAATAACAGCTTGAGAGTTGATGTATCGAGCTTACACAAAATAAAAACCCAGGCTGGAACGCACCAGGCGGGCCGGTGCGATTATGGTTTTTGCACTTTTCGTGCCGTAGCAAGATCGCAAGGAATCAAAGTTGCTAACCTTGTGAAATACTGGCCCTCGAAGTTCGGGAGGTTAATTGTGCAACTATGTGGTATGTCAGTTGTAGGTGTCGACTTCAGTGACCCGGCAAATGGAAAGTTGCTGGTCCACAAAAAAAGGCCACGCTAGAAAAGTTAAGTTTAAAATCTTCCAGCCGTCCTTGAGCAAGAAACATTCCCTTAAAATTAAAGCCTTCAGCTTTTCCCGTTCCTGAATTAGCAGTTTTCCCATCAGAATTTTCACGTGTCCGTACATGAGTGCAGGACAGTTTTGAGGAGCTGAATTTAAAATATTTTGGTCATACATGAGCAGGGAACATTACCCTAAAGTTTCAGTTTTCTAGCTTTCCCCGTTTCCGGGTTAGTAATTTTCGCGCCGAAATTTCCACGCGCTCGTATGTGGGCACGGGAGCTTCTAAACACCTGATTTTGCTCGTACATGAGCAGGAAACATCCCCCGAAAGTTTCAGCTTTCTAGCTTTTTCCGTTCTCGGGTTATTGATTTTCGCGCCAAAATTTTCACGTGCCCGTACGTGAGCCCCAAACGGTCCTAAGGAGCTGAGTTTGAAAACATTTGGTCGTGCATGATTATGGAACATTCCCCCGAAGTTTCAACTTTCTAGCTTTTCTCATTCTCGAGTTGTGAGTTTTCCCGCCCGAATTTTCACGTGCCCGTACGTAAGCCTCGGGCGCTCCTGGGCAGCTGAATTTGAAATCTTTTTTTCATACAGGAGTAGGAAACATTGTCCCAAGGTTTCAGCTTCCTAGCTTTTTTCGTTCCTGAGTTAGTGATTTTCGCTCCAAAATTTCCACGCGCTCGTACGTGGGCTCGAGCACTTCTAAACACCTGATTTTGCTCGTACATGGGCAGAAAACATTCCCTTAAAGTTTCAGCTTCCTAGCTTTTCCCGTTCCTGGGTTAGTAGTTTTCGCGCCAAAATTTTCACATTCCCATACGTGGGCTCGGGCGCTTCTAAACACCAGATTTTGCTCGTACATGAGTGGGGAACATTCCCTTAAAGTTTCAGCTTTCTAGCTTTTCTCGTTCCCGAGTTAGTGATTTTCGCGCCAAAATTCCAACATGCCCGTACGTGAGCCCCGGGCAGCCCTGGCAGCTGAATTTGTAAACTTTTGGTCGCGCATGG